GGTTCCTTACCTTAGATGTATGAATTCTGCCGCCTTTTGTTTTCGCAGCGAATCTAGAAAGTATTCATAGAATACCTCCAAGAATCTTGCTTAAGTCACAATATCTTCATTCTCTAGGGTAAGGAGCCATCATTCTTGTGCATCATCTTTGAAGGTGAATGTGGCGAAAGTCACCTTCTGCCTTTCTGTGCAAGGTAGTGCACGGAAAATTTTCTCCATATCTTTGACCCAAGCTTCAACCACAAGTGGGTTTATACTGCTAGTGAATATGGTAGGTTTCAAGTCCTGGAACTATTTTATTGTAGTTGGTTCTTCTCGTTGTTCAGGCAATCCACTATTAATGTTGGTTTATAGGGCTTGCAGAAAACTAGTAACTGTTCTTTCCATGATTTGCTCTATTGGGTTGGTACTGCTGACCGACGATCCGGTTCCATTTCCATCATTAACCATTACTACAAGGTAAAATGATATAAGCGTGACATCACATTGATACAACTTTGATACAACGTCATATAGAACGTATTAGTTTTATTAGTTTTACTACCACATTAATATTACCACATTAATACCACATAAAACATCTTATATACATCATTGTTATCAGTGACATCTCTTGGTCATGCTCCTAGAATAGGTCACTAAGCCCCCACGAAAACTAGCTCTGGAAGACCAGGCCGTAGAACAGCCATGGGAACTCCTGCTACACCAGAGACTCAAACTTCCATCCATTGAGCTCAATCCCAAAATAGCACCAAACTACTTGGACCATGTAGACCGGTACATCGTGGTCATATCCCCAAAACTGCTACCTAGTGAGCCGCACAGGCATCTCTAAGTATGTGGTACTGTTAGTGTAGTCCACAGTGGGGTCTGGACAATGTGTTGTAGAGGAGGTGTAGCAGTGTGAATGTGGCTGCTAGGGTATATATTCCCTCTCCTCTCGGCAAAGCCTGGGGGTAAGGGAGCAACCAAGAAATGCGGATGTACTAATCCGACGACGTGCGTCGGCCCAATGTATCTCTCTCAGGTGCTAGCCCGGCTAAGTCTCCAAAACAAGTAGTCCTTATCAAGGTTGGCCTGCAAATATACTGGTCTTCCTATGGGTTAGTCAAGGTCGGAGTGGATCTGTCCAAGTGGTACTGTTAGTGTAGTCCACAGTGGGGTCTGGACAATGTGTTGTAGAGGAGGTGTAGCAGTGTGAATGTGGCTGCTAGGGTATATATTCCCTCTCCTCTCGGCAAAGCCTGGGGGTAAGGGAGCAACCAAGAAATGCGGATGTACTAATCCGACGACGTGCGTCGGCCCAATGTATCTCTCTCAGGTGCTAGCCTGGCTAAGTCTCCATAACAAGTAGTCCTCATCAGGGTTGGCCTGCAAATATACTAGTCTTCCCATGGGTTAGTCAAGGTCGGAGTGGATCTGTCCAATAGTGCTTTTTGAGTCCCCCCATCCCTCCAATCAGTTAGGGGCCAGATGCGTTCCTTGGGGCTCGAACCAAATCAATTCTTCCTGGTGTGTCATGTCCTACAACATAGGAAAACTTGGCCTACCCAATATTTATTTAAATCATGTTGGATACAATATTTTATTTATTTATTTTATATTATGACAATATATATATAAAATTAAACAATTATGATGTTGAACAAAATATAGTATTTATTTATTTTTATTTTATGACAATATATATATATATATATATTTTTATTAATAAACACTCAAGTTTTTGTTTTTGTTTTTTTTGTTTTTTTTTTTGTAAAAGCTCTGATATCACTTTTGTCACGACCCAAACCCGGTACCCAAAGGTTTGGTGTCGCAACGAGATAAAAATAAAATAATTCTAATAATTTTGTAGTCGTAGCGCAAGCGGATAAATTAAAATAAATTAATTAGATACCAAATATTTATTAAAAGGAAATAAACATAGTCATTTGGGCTTTTATTTTATTCTAGGTGTCCAATTAGAAATATAGATAGTACCAAAAAAAAAAAAAAAAACACTGTGGTTTATTCCCTATCTTGATCCTGCTAAGTCTCGTCGTGTCCAATTAAAAATACAGATAGTACAAAAAAAGAAAACACTGTGGTTTATCCCCTATCTTGATCCTGCTAAGTCTCGTCACCTGAAAGTGGTAGCAGCTATAAGCACATAGCAGAGTGAGAAATATTATACTGTGAGTATAGGGGTACAAAATAGCTATGGATAGTAGGGGTGAGCAGCGGATATACCGATCCGCCAAAACCGACCAAACCGAACCAATCCGTCGCATTTTGGACGAATGCGTGATGACAAGCGGACGGTTGTGGATTGATTTTCTCCAATCTGCCAATCTGGCGGACGGATTGCGAATTTGAAATTCATTTGGCTGCAACCGAACCGCCAAACTGCGAACACCTCTAATAATTTATAAGATTTTGTGTTTTTAGTTTGTTTAAATATTTTGTTTGCGTTTTCAATTAAAAAATAGTTTAAATATTCTATTGAAAAAAAGTTTTCAACTTAAATATCCTTTTTGAATTGAAAAAAATAAACGTATTATTTATCTATATTTTTTGATTTTTAAATCTATCTCTAAAAATAATAAATAGAAAATATGATATATGCTGGTTGGCTTTTGTTTTCAAAAACAGATATGGATGTAACAATACAGAGACATACAATCTATACTACTGCCCTGTTATGGTTTTAGTGGTTTGAATTGTTTTTATATTTTAAGAACCATAGATTGTAATACATTATGTGGATGAGGCATGTTGTGATTGTAGTATGTGGATGAGGCATGCAGTGATTGTAATATTTTTTTTAAGTCATTAACTGTAATACTTTTTTTTTTTTTTTTTGAGCAAGTGCTTAAACTGCCAAACTGATTCGCATTCATCTGCTAAACCGTCATTCCGCTCAATCCACATCCGCTGGATTGGCAGACGGATGGCGGATTGATTTTCTCTAATCCGCCAATCTGGCAGACGGATTGCGGATTAGAGGTTCCGTGGCCGCAACCGACCCGCGCCCACTTCTAATGGATAGTTATTTAAGCTATAACATTAACATAATTTAAGTGGCATAAATAAATTATTTAAGTGGTAGAAACTGAAATAAAAATTACGTAAATAACTATAACCACGGTATAGAACAGAACAGAACAGAACATGGGTTAATAGATCCATGACAAACAGAGGAACACAAAGTGGCCAAATAGGGCCAAGGGTTATTTAAGTCCCTCAAGGCATGAGACTCCCGTGGTGGTACTTACAGAAAAAAATTATTTACAAAATCATCGTCAAATAATTATTAAAAGTTAAACAGACATATCCATGTGTTTCAATTTAAGTAACTATAGTTCAGAAAATAATTTACGTAATTAAAACATTAACATAACCATAAAATATAAATTATATAAAAATAAATTGTGGTAACTCAAAACATTGGTAAAATATATTATGATAACTCAAGACATATTTAAAACATATTATGGTTGCTCAAGATATAATATAACTCACATCTGATATAAATTTACTCCTATTATCACCGTGCTCCCGAAACCTCTCTTGCTACTCTTCCTACATTCACTCAACTTAACTTGGTGCTTCATTCTATAACAGAGGCCTCTATTTATACTTTCCCAAGTGTGAAGATGTCCCCTCTTGTGCCATATGCTAAGTATACACGTAGATGTCTCCTATTTATGCCATCTGCTTGGCCCTTGTTTTCATCTCCATGAATTCACCAAGGGTCATGTTGACCCTTGCCCCACCGAAATTTTACTTGGCTCTTTTTTTTTTCTTTTTTTAATTAATTAATTTATTATGTTATTCCAATTCTAAAAATCATGATTCCTAAAATTACCTATGATTATATGTTAGGTTCACGTCTAAAAAAATCTCTCCATCTAATTATAAAATATCACTTACCGCTTACTAAATTATTTACGGTGTCTCGCAATCTATTCCCTTTGCACTTTTTGATATAATAAAAAATTCTATTTATTGAGTTAAATTTTTAAAAAAATTTCGGGTGTCACATGTCGACTGGATTATGGCCCTCTGGTCATAGCCCAACCGTTAGAGACAAAACTGGAGCCCCTAAACTATCCACAAATGGCGTATTTTTCTTACTAACAGATGGCTCAAGAATATCCCCTTTATCCTTAATGTGCCCCAACGTCTCCACTACCCCCACTCCTCAGACAGAGTCACGTACCTCAGATCGTTCCAACACCCCCAGCCTTATACCAGTCCCTATGCACCACCATTGACTCGGAGCTAGGTGGAGGCGGCTGAGAATGGTGTAGAATTGGCCGGAGTCGAGCTTCCAACACATCCATTTTTTTTCGATAATGCTCAACCAGGAGTCCCGAGCTTGGCGCTATACCAGTGCGCAAGTCTGGTCCATACCCAGATGCTCGCCCCTCGTCACGAGAGACAAACTTACACACAGTCCACTCATGGCCAATCCTTCCGTAATCAAAGCAGAAGTTAGAGAGCTTCTCATACTTGAAAAAAATCCATGAATTAAACCCTGCCACTAGGGAAGAGACACCCCTGTTCAAAAGAAAACCTCTAGAAAGAGGCTTAGTGACATTAATCTCGACCCTTATGCGAAGAAAACTTCGATAAAGCAGAAGGCCCTCATAGTGAGCTTCAACATGAAGCAGACGTCCGATCTTGTTTCCTATAATTTCTCCATTAGCCTTCGTCATCTTTTCCAGAGGTAAACCATGGATTTGAATCCAGAAAGGACACCAAATGAACTGAATTTCTGAAATAGGAAGACCCACCACCAACGGTTGGAGAATCAGCAAATGACCCATAATGGACCAAGGTGCCTCATGTAGAACCTAGCTGCGATCCTCACTGTCCTCAAAGCTAAAGAGGAACAAATTGTCATTCTAGGGAGAAATAGTGAACGAGGCCCGTGTCCTCCAAGCCCCTTGAAGGATTGTGGAGACCGCTGGCTTGTTGAGCTGTTTAGCGGTGAGAACACGCCCTATCAAGCAACGATGGGAGACATCCTCCATAACCTCAGTTTCATCTTCCAATTCAATAGAGTCCAGTTCCGAAAAATGGGTCGACGGACTCGCCATACAAACCAGGGTAAATAGAAAGGAGAACAAGAGCAGACAAGAAAAGGAAAACATAAAGAGAAAGGAAGAAAACAAGAAATAGAATTGTCAAAAACGAAATGCAAGAAAGGAGACGCTAGGGATGAGAGAGATTCGAGATAAACGGGGAAACTAGACAGCAGAGACTAGACAAAGGAAAAGCTAAGACAAACCCAGAGAAACTACCCTAGGGTAGAGAGCCTCCCATTCTAGAGAGAGAAAATAGTAAACTAATTTTTAACCTTTTTTTTTTTGTTTTTTTTGAACACGTTTGTATACTACTTCAACGCTCACTTTCATCCATTTGGTAATTACTTTTCAAATTAACAAAAATACAAAAAAAAACTATAGTGTTAGAGTTAAATTAAAGATGTACTAACTTAGATTATAATTTACAGGAAATGGGGCAATTAACGGCGTTTAATTAACGGCGTTTTATTAAACGTCACGTTTGCTAATTTTTAACGACGTTTTGCAATCGTCGCATATTTTTTAAAACCAAAACGGCACCGTTTCTAGTTGAAGGCGTTTAAAAGCGCCTCCGAATGCTGTAGGTACACGCGCCCCTTTATGAAACCCTTATTTTCGAATCTGAGTCCAAAGTGTAAGCAATTTCGCGCACATGTCTCTCTCACTCTCTCTCTCTCTCAGCGACGAAGAAGACGGAGGAGATCAATCGGCTGTTCTTGAAGCTTGAATATATAACACTGAGTCTTAGCTTGAATACGCACACATCTCTCTCTCTCTGTCAATCCTTATACGCACACATTTCTTCATCTAAGCTCCATCTGCACCTGCGATTTGGAAGCGATTTGGAAGATTCAGATCGATTTCGAGATTCAGAGCGATTTCGAAGCTCCATCGCCACCGTCATCTGCACCGGCGAGGTAGCGAGCTCCACCGTCTCTCTCTCTCTCTAGATCTATGAACCTCATTTGCAGAGATTCAGAGAGAGGCATTCTGACTTGATCCTCATTTACTGAACTTTAATCGATACTCTCTCTCTCTCTCTATTTCTTTCGAATTTCACTGCATGTATAACATTTGTATACATCAATATGTGTGTTTGTTGAATTGTTGAATTGATCTGTTAGGTTCTTTTTTGAACTGAAAGAAACTTCTACACTAATTTTCATACGACAATTTGGATAAATAGGACACAATATTGGGCCAAAAAAGATGATAGTTCAACAAAAATTTAACCATAATTGTCAATCAATATTCTGGAAATACATATTAGATCACAGAGCTACAAAACAAACATTTGTTTGCCTGTGTTCATGTAATTACCTATATATTCACCATTTACAAATGCAACCATTGGTGGCCAAGGTTTGCTATTTGTAGGACTGGGTTAATATCAGAATGCATTGGTAAGTCACGGCAATCAAAATGTATAATGCAAGATGAATTCAAAAAACATGTCAGATCTGTGGAAAGTTTAGAAAGAAAATTGTGAAAGTTGAGTAAGATAGAATTACCTGGTGTTGTACCAAGCATAGTCTGAGGTATCTTTAGTCTAGAGCTCCAATGGAGACTTGCTTTTTAGTGGTAATTGGTGTATGTTTGGAATACTTTCTTGGGACATTTCCTATTTAAGATTTTGTGCATTGTTTGATGGATGGAAATTCCTTGCATAAATATGTGTAGGAAGGTGAGTGTCATTAGCAACATATGAAAACAAAACTTTGAAGAGAGGACTATCATTAAAAATTTTGGAAGTACAGATACACAGTTGAAGTGTGTGTTTTTTTTTTTAGAAGGGCACAGTTGGGGTGTTAATTAGGCAGTGTAACCTCCGCTAGTTGGACTCTTTTCTACAAATTCTGTCATCTTTATGCTTCGTTGAACCTCTGCTAGTTGGACTCTTTTCTACAAATATTTTGTGCAAAATTTAAATAGATTTTTCTGCATATTTTATTGTCTACTGTCACAGGGGTAAATGGATTTGCATTGGTTTGCAAAACTACTATCATCAAATTGTCTTGTGTTCTCTATTGATTCTTAAAAACCTTGCTTCCCACTTTTTTCAGACATTCGGAACTGGATTCGCAACATTGAACAGCATGCTTCTGATAATGTCAACAAGATACTGGTAGGGAACAAGGCTGATATGGATGAAAGCAAAAGGGTATGTGGTTTGTTTAAATCTCTCTCTCTCTCTCTCTTCGTGTGTGTGAGCCCCTGCTCCCCTTCACTTCTTTTTATATCACTTAAATTGCCTTTGATTTCAATTCTACTAGTTCAGCTCATGTCTTCAATTTAGTTCCATTTCAAAGTTTGCTTGTGAACCTCTCGAACTTGGAAATCTCTCCTCATAAAATCTATGTAGGCTGTGCCAACCTCTAAGGGCCAAGCACTTGCAGATGAATATGGCATTAAATTCTTTGAAACTGTAAGTACAACACACTTAAATTCTCTAAAAAATTTATCAACCGTGTCCTTTTTACTGATTAAACTTGCCGTTTACAGAGTGCAAAGACAAATCTTAATGTTGAGCAAGTCTTCTTTTCAATAGCTAGGGATATAAAGCAAAGGCTCGCTGACACCGACTCCAGGGCAGAGGTATTTGAATCACATGACACGTGTCTTGTTTTTTAATTAAGAATTTCACTTTGGGGTCACTCTGTTCTAAAGTGCTGAAAACTACTTACAATTTGTGTTTTGCAGCAGCCACAAACTATCAAAATCAATCAACCAGAGCAGGGGGTTGCAGGTGGTCAACTTGCGCAAAAATTAGCTTGCTGCGGTTCTTAAACGAACAAGTTATTGCAGGAGCAATGGTAACGTATTGGAGGCTGCTCTTCGGAGAAAACCAGAATGAAAGAACTAATTATGATGACAAATATAATGCGTACTTGTAACTTTTTCTGAAAGTCAATTCTTTCCAAACTTGTTTTAGTGTGCATTACAGCTGGATTTGGATTTGTTTACAATCAGTGTTTTGAAGGAGTTTTTCGAAAAACCTGGTAAATCTAGTTGTAGTGATAGACAAATTTGTAGTTTATCTGATTTTCCCTTTTGTAGTTTATCTGTATTGCATCTATAATACATATAAATGTTGACATATATTTGTATCTGTTTGTCTTTACATACATATATTAGGTTTGTGGATACCATATTCTGAATCTGAGTAAACAAAATTTGAATCTTACCTACTTTATAGTTGATTCTGTTATGGAAAAGAATGCAGAGTATGTGGGTTATTTATTGGGAATTTGAATCCCAAATGAAAGGCCCACAGTTTTGAATCAAATATACATACATATTGCATGGAGCAATCAGATTATGTGTTTTATTTTCCAAACAAGTGTGAGACAAGAGTAATAAAAAACACTATGGCGTTGCTTACTTCTCTTATAGCCTTTTTCTACTTATTCTTCCCCATTACTCTTCTCCTCCATTTCTACTCTTTTCTCCATGCAATAGATGAAATACAAAGAATTATACCTATCAATTCTGATCAACTAGGAAATTGAAATTAAACTTTATATTGCTGGATAATAAGCTTAAGGAACCTATCTTGAATGAAATTTTATGCATTAGTGAGGCATTATGAGCTGAATTTTACAACACATGATACTTCTTTTGTTTTTATTGTGTATATCTCTGAATGCAGGCCTATAGAACAAGTCAGGAGCCTAGTGTTCTTAAGCTTAAGGAACCTGCCTTGGATGTTCCTATAGATGTTCCTATGATACTCCATCTGAGGTATGTAGCTTTGGTACTTACATATCATGGGATCCATTGTGTTCCTATAGATGTTATCCACTGATAAGTGCAAATTATGTATGTTATCAGTTCATGCTTTGTTTCTTGCTCATTATACACTTGCTAACTTGCCAAATATAAACATTTTTAGGTTGTCTTGCTGGAGTGGACAGATGATTTGGAGCTGTTCATATTAATTGGGTGCGGATTCTAAGAAATTACCTGTTGTCTATGTTTATTGTGATATATGACTTGAGCAACTTGTTATCTATGTTTATTGTGAATTTGAGTTTTTAGAATTCAGTCTGAATCTGTGAACAAAAAAACAAAAAAATTGGGTGATAGTTTTCCCTTCCTAGTACTGCATATCTTCAGTTAGGATTATTTTATTTTATTTTATTTTTTAGGACTGGAATAATTTTATATATCTAGCTCACTTATGTGGGAAGGAGAGCCATTAAGTGGTAGGGGCAGGTGAACTCGCAACAGGTGAGATTACACCCTGATCTTATTTGTTGTTAAATGGTGTACAAAATATTTTATTAAGTTGCAGGATTCAAGAAGTGGAAACTCATCCTTTTTTTTTTCTTTGGGATCTATGTTCTAAAAATTCTAACATTATGTGGAAGCATATGAGAGCTCTTGAGAAAGTCTTGCTATAAATAGGGTAAGGATGTGTACACTTGTAATATGATTAATGAAATTTATTGAAATTTGATATGAGCTCTTGAGAAAGTCTTGCTATAAATGAGGTAATGATGCATATAATCTATTTGGTACTTATTTAACTGGCTATTTAAATTAAGAAGCAATTTAAAAGCTTCAAAAGCTTCAAAAGCAGTGCTCTATGTGATCATTGTGAGTTGGTTGAAACGAACGTAGCTTCAAAAGCTTGCTTGTTCCAACACATGTGGCTAAGTTCATTTGGACACAACTTCTTGCATTAGATTGTAACAATGTTTCTGTAACATTCATTCGAATGAGGGCATCTTTCTTTTGAACATAGAGTTGTTACGAGTTAAGTCTAATTTACAGAGAGTTCATTTGAACGTAGAGTTGATATTCCTAATGAACTTTCCTTTTAGACTTAATATTGTTTTTTTAGCATTATTTAGATTTATATTTAATCAACTTAAATGTGTAATTTTGTGGATATGTAATAGAAGTATGATCTATGGCATAATTTGCAATTTGCTATTGCTGTGACTTGTGAGTTCCGTACAACCCCATCTCTCCTCAATACCTGCTATTAATGAGTATCTAAATTGTTACATTATCAGGATAATTTCAGTTCCTCGATTCCAATGGATGGAAAAACAGAGCTTCAGATTTTATCTTTCCAATCTCCCAAGATCAGACTCCTACGTAGTTTGTGTGTTGAAGGGAATGAAGCAATGCAGGTGTTGTCCTCTGGCACAATTCACTTCATCTACCTTAACACTAGCTTTTGGATAGCTGTGCCCTACCATGTTGCACTTGCACATCTTGCACTTGACATTCAGACTTGTCAACCCATTGTCAAGAGCACTAGTCTTTGACCACAATCTTTTACTCTTGCATTGTCATAGCCATAGCCTAGCATTCAAAATACTGTAATTATAATTTTTTTTGGGTACGTAATGATATTGCTATAAATTTTGCATTCCTTTCTTGTGGGTTGATGACGACTGCCATCTATATTGCCATTAATGCTGACAATTTAATTTGGTGAGATGAACTAAATTGAACATCATATGATGGGAGAGTAATTATGGATCTTCACAGGGAGTGAATTTTCCCTTTTTGTATTTTGGTATGGGATGTGAACTACCTTTATTTCTTAGTGTCTCTGATCATTGAAAGTGACCCTTGCTTATGTTTCAAATGCCAAATCTGTTGTTGGAAGGTATTGACATTTAGTGCGTAATGCAGCTTGTCCCTGGTGGTTCTCCTGGTCCAGAATGTGTGGTGGTATGCAAGATTGCTTTTGTTTGTGCCGTCAGATTGGCAGATCTAAAGAAGAATGCTGATGAATAAGAAAGTCTGGTGTTTGCTACTTTAGTTGGTGACCTGGTAGTCCGAGGACTAATATGATTTTTTTTTTTTAATTTTTTTTGTTGGTTCTTGTATTTGAAATAGAGAGGTTATTTGCATTGATAACTTGTTCTTAACTCAATAACTCTCCAACGACCATATGAAGATTTCTAGTGTGTGAGAAATATGAAATGTTTTTTGTGTAACATACACCGTTTGATTTGTGTGAATGTTTTTTTTTGCACAATGATTGTGGACTATCATTTGATAGGATTTTACTATATGAATGGAAGTTATTATTTTATATTAGTACTATTTTAGTTTTATTATAGGTATTTTTTAAGTTCAATAACAAAAAATTAGCACAAATTTTTTTTTAAAAAAAGGCTATCACGGCGTTTCTAAAAACGTCGCTAAATAGTTGGGAAAAAGAGATATGGCGGCGTTTTAAAAACGTCGCTAAATGGCATGGTGACGTCATGTTACAATTAGTAGAACTTTTAGCGGCGTTTTCTAAAACGCCGCCTATAGTGATATAGCGACGTTTCTGAAGCGCCATAGAGTTATAGCGACGGCCACATCTTCGGCGTTTGGTGCTAAACGTCACAAAAAGATTTGACGGCGTTTTTAAGACTTATAGCGGCGTTTTTTAAACGCCTCTAAAACCTTGATTTCCAGCAGTGTTATAAGGCTTACAAGGTTAATTAATTATATTTATTACAATGTCATTATATTAATTAGATTATGGCTTTGTTTAGAATTTGGTTATTTTAGTTAGTTATTTAGCTATTTTAACTTGGTTAAAAAGTTGTGTTTGAGATAATGGTTTCTTTAGAGTTGATTTGATAGTTGTGAAAAAAAAGAAAAGAGAAATGATTATGGTTTGAGAAATTTAGCCAAAATCCCTCAATTGAATCATTGTTTAGTGAAAAGTACATCCCAATTATTTTGCTTCATAAACTCCCTAAGGAGGAGGCGTATAATTCAGTAAAGACAAAGTAAAATATCTTTTTTTTTCTTAGACAATATTGTCAGAGTAATATGTTATTGTGTACTATAATAACATGTTACTGTCAAATAGAATAACACGTGTTACTATTTAATCAATTTCGACCGTAAATTTTTTTTTTTTTTTTTTTTTTTTTTTTTTTTTTTTTTTTTAAGAATTGCATAGTTGACATGGATCATATTTAATAGATCTTGATGAGAGGATTCTAAGAATACTAATTTTATCAAAAATCGACATATATCTAGATCAAAAGTTATAGTATTATTTTAAAGTTTAATATTTTGATAATAGTAGTTGTAGGGGGCTTCAAGGTTAGGGAGGTGATTAGAGAGGCAAAACTATGCTAATGGTCCACTGATGGCGGAAATGGCTAGAGAATGAGTAACAGCAACTGTGTGGGAGTTGGAGAGTGTGTAGCTAGGTGAGGATGTGGCTCAAGAAGAAGTATATGACAGTGCTAAAATGGACAGCATCTCCCCCAAATCCCCAAAATTCTTCTTGTTGAACCTTGGGAAATGGGTCCTATTTATAGGCTTTTCCTTGGCATCAAGAGGACACCAAGTCGCCAAATAAAGAGAAGACATGTGTCCCAGGGGATCACATGGAATATTCTGCCTTGAGCCACCAAGCTGAAGGTGCCACGTGTCCCTCTGCATGTACTATGTACTATGTACTATCTGTTTGCCTCCACAACCACCTTTTTTAAGCCTCGACAAGTGCAGTTAAAGTGGGAGTGTTTGCCTCTACACTTGCCTTCTCAGCCTAAACCTCAGCAAGTGCACTTACAGTGGTGAACCTTGCCGCTGCACTTGCCTTCTCAGTTCTATTTGGCCAATACATGTGTTCTTAGGACTCCATAGCCTGTTATCAGCCATGTTCGTGTTCACCCCAGCGAAACCTCCACCCTTAGCCACCTAACCACAAACTCCTCAGCTTCCTAGGGTGAAAACCACAGCCAGGCCTGTTATCAGCCATGCTATGCCTTAGTACCAAGCCCAAGGGGGCTTCCTTAGTCCTGCCTGTACGACTAGGGCAGGTC